TCCGTTAAAATGCATGGGCTAGATATATCGATAAGTTTTCTTTCTGTCAACAAATTACTCATAGATCGGTAGTCAAAGATTTGTGGTTATTAAATAGTAAATACCGTATTAGATTTCTAAATTAAAAAGAAAAGTAATTAAGATGGAGAAAATTTCAGAGAAGATGAAGAGGTTGTGTTAAAATAATAAATAGATGACAAATGAATAAGCGTTTTTTTTTTTTAAATGTGCAATTACGTGGAACCTTCAGCGTTGATCACGCCATTACAATAAAAAACTTCTTCAATTCTTCTTCTCAAACACCAAATTCATTTTTTGTCCTGATAAAAAACATTATAATAGATAAACAGATCTGTGATTGTGTTTTGATCTCGTGACAAACAAGAAACAAAAACAGGTTCTTCTCGTCTTCTTCCTTTTTTATTTTCTTTCGTCCTGATTCTTGTGACATTTGTTGTCTGATGTGAAACATGTCCTTTACATATTATGTCTCGATTTAGTTTTTCTTTTTTTTCTCGTTGTTTATTGAATCTCTGAGTAGATCTGATTTTGGTTATCTTGGAATCATCAAACAGCGTTCTTCTTCTGTTAAATCAAGTGATTAAAGCTGCCTTGTCTTACAAGAAACTAGATTTTGTGTTGGGGGTAATCTACGATCTGATCTCGAAGCACAAGCAAATTAACAGAGACATGGGAGGTGCGGTGACGAAATCTGAATCTTTGCAAAAAGAATGGGTTCCAGAGACAAAGCTCGAGGCTAAGATCATAGAAGCCGTGCAACGCAGGGCATCGAGAGGCACCACAATGAAATCATTCAACAGTATTGTTCTCAAGTTCCCCAAGATTGATGAAGGTCTTCGAAACTGCAAAGCTATTTTCCAAGAATTTGGTGAGTGCATACGCAGATTCTAAATCGCGGGTTTTCTCATGGATTTGATGGTTGTTTAACTTGGTTGGTTTGGGCAGATGAGGATTCAAATGGGTCGATTGATCACTCGGAGCTAAAGAACTGTTTCAGGAAGCTAGAGATCTCGTTTGAGGAAGAAGAGATTAAGGATTTGTTCGAGGCTTGTGATATTAACGAGGATAAGGGGATTACATTTACTGAGTTCATTGTTCTTCTCTGCCTCGTCTATCTTCTTAAGGACGATTCATCCACACTCCAAAAGGTAACAGCAAACAATACTATCACCAATGTTCTCGACTTCAATGCTCAGTTTGGAGTTATCGGTTTATCAGTTATTCGTGGTATTGAAAGTTTTTTGTACTATGAATAGAAATGGAGGATGGGAATGCCCAAGTTGGAGCCAACATTTGAGACGCTAGTGGACACATTTGTGTTCTTGGACAACAACAAGGACGGACATGTTAGCCGTGAAGAGATGGTCCGAGCCATTGATGAATCTGGCGAACGGTCATCTGGTCGGATCGCAATGAAGAGATTTGGTCTAGTCTCTATCTATACACCTGCCTCTTCTTCTCAAGCTTTCTCCTTCAATGAACCAAAGAATTTTGATTTTTATTCATTTGCTTGCAGAGGAAATGGACTGGGATAAAAACGGAATGGTGAACTTTAAAGAGTTCTTGTTCGCATTTACGCAATGGGTCGGGATAGATGAGAATGAAGAAGACGATGACAACAATGAGAAGAATGGTTAATGTTGTGGGTTTCTAAGTCTATATTTGGTTTTGTGTTTACAGAAATTAGTAGTAACAAAAGGTATTTAGTTATTCTTTATGTAATAATGCAAACATAATAATTCATTACCAAACACAAACCATGATGTTTTACCCAAAAACTGGCTTTACGCAACAAAGCTTATTAGTGGTCTCCAGTGAACCAAATT